GAAAATACCGCTTCCAACAGTTATCCCATTGTTGCGTGCGCACCCTGCTTAGGATGGCTCTGGTATTGTTGCATGTTATACAGCCATTACCTAACAACGGCTGTCTCTGCTGGCGTCCCAATTTTTGGCTTTGAGCAAATATGTCAACAATTATCTTTTCATTGTTCCTCAAGAGCTTGGAATTTCATTTCTCCAGTTTATGTATTTTTGGCACGAATATGAAAGGAATCCCAAGCTATTCATTCTGGACAATTCATGGGGATGAGACGGAATTTTAGTGCTTTAGTTATTTTCTTATACTTTCCATTAGCCAGATCACACCACAGCTGGGGAACTCTTTAAGTCTTTTATGCATGTTAGCCTGTGAGTGGTTACTTGAATATCAGAACAGCGACAACTGGAGGCCAAAAACCCCCATGTAGTTCATGACCGACCCTCGCACGATCCGAAAGTTGGAGTTCTAGGTATAATCATTGCACGCAGAATAGTAGGCCTTATGTTTCAGAGTTAGGCCGAAATGAGGGCCGCGCCATAGCTCAAGCGGTTAGTCGCTGGCTTCCCACCGCGGCGGCCCGGGATCCATCCCGAATCTGGTAAAGTGGAATTTGTGGTGGACAAAGTGGCGCTGGGGCAGGTTTTCTCCCAGTACTTCGGTTTCCCCTGCCAATCTTCATTCCACCAATTGCTCCACAATCACCCTCACCTATCATCTGGGGCTGGTACAATATGCCAGAAGTGGCCGCAGTACAAGGGACTTAGTCCCACCCCACTAGCATTAAAAAAATTAGGCCAAAATGAGAAAGATGGAAAACGAATCTAGAATTTTAGTCAGAGAAACTGGTAGGGAACAGACAACTTTGGAGACCTAAGCTTGGATGAAAGGACAGTGGATCTCAAATGAATATGATATATGGAATGTGTACAGTAGACTGAGCTGGCTCAAGATATGCATCAATGGTGGGCTTGAGTAAACTCGAGAATAAATCTTCGGGTTCCACAAAACGCAGGAAATACTCGTATCTTGACTACCTAAGCGACTACTAGCTTCTAAAGAAGGGCTCTGCTCCATGGAGTTAGAAGTTATCCAGTCTGGCCCTGAGATACTGAACTAACGAAAAATCAGGGAGAAAGCCTCGTTTATGTTATCCATTAAAACATCACATATACGCTTACATATGAATTCAATGTCATTTCCACAAAAGCATACAGATTTTCCTCTTTGCGACAGAAGAAGCGGCAGGACTGCGCTCTCGGTACAATATCCAGCTTTATATTCGTCCCTTAATACCTTTCCAGCACTACCACTGTGAAGCGATCTGCTGCTAAGGGTGACAGGGATTGGAAGGCTTGAAATGTAGGTCATACAGACGATACAGACTTCAGATTACATGAGTTCTTGAAGCACAGACTAATACATCAAGTTGTGGTGGAATGCGTCTCGCAAGCCTCAACATTTGTCGAAACATGGAGAGACTAAAAACATGAAGCATATAGCGTCTCCTTCTGCGTCCTCTTTTTCATGTAACGACATTTTCTCAACTGTATGCACCATATATAGTGTCCAACGAGAAAAAAATGTTTTCATTTATTGTTTTATTTAAGAACAGTTTTCACCTGCACGGGTTGTATATCACGAACAAAAATTTCTCAAGATTAGTCTAGAGGTCACAGGCCTATAGATCACGTGAGTGAATCACTGTGTCTGTTCCTTAGTTCATGCCCCCTTCTCATCTGCATAGGTTATGTGGTGTAAATATGAAAATGGATACTTCGTTATTGCTTTATTAAATGACGCTTTCTCAGTCTAATCGATTTCATAATGTTCGGTTGAAAGATGACTGCGTTTATTCTCCAGTTTATTTAATGACGTTTCTTAAACTGCATAGGTTATACTTCGTCAAATAAGCAGACTATATTTCTTTATTGTCCTATTCTATGACATTTTCTCAAGCGCATCGATTAAATAAAGTTAGTGGGATTATGACTGGATTTACGAGTATTTCTTAGTTTCTTCAGCGACGTTTTATTAACTGCATAGGTTATATAGACTTGATATCTCTGCCTGGTGAATTTAGAAGAACGCGTAAGGCAGCTACAGTGACATGTTTAAAGCTAATGTCACAACACTTGTATCGGTGGTCTGAGGAAAACTACGGAACATCTTATTCAGGATAACTAGGCTCTGGATCAAGAACATAATTCAGAGCCTTAATAATTCGATGCAGAAATGGTAACCATTGCAGCTCGATGTTCAGTAAAATTACTCGTAACAGGAACATTTTGTCTCGAAGAGTTCCACAAAGCATAATCCGATTTGTAGATAGTTACTCATGCTGAATTAATTGCACAGAATGAGTAATGTTGAATGATACAGTGTTACGTCCTGTGATTTGGAAGTCATATCGGATGTAACGATAATAACTTATTTTGAGATATTATTTCGACAACGGACTTGTGGGAATTAATAACTAGACTTCAAAATGGCGCACTCCGTAACGTAACAAACAGAATTGCCAACGGCTTTCTTTGCAGTTTATAAAGCTTCTTAAAAAGGGATTAATAGAATGAAAATGAGTAAAATTAGCCAATATCGAATTTCAATAAAGTCTGTTAAACTATTTATGAGATATATGAAACAGTCTATTATCTTAAGTGAAGCAGGCTGTACTGTGGATAAATATGGCTGAAACTCGAAAATGCCTGAGAAATAATAGTGAAAGATCTTTCATCGAGTTTTAGGAAAATCTGTCCCATATTTATCGAGTTCGGGATAATGTACCTCCATTATTGGCTCTAGAGAGAACCGTCATTTTGATTTTTCTTTTTTACTCTCTAGTCACCATGACTTTATACAGCGGTCCTATGCTCTTTACAAATCAATACGCCATCGATGTGTAATATGATAACGTTCTTATCATGGAAATTATGGAGAATACTGTGTTCTGAGTTGTAACCCCATGTAGTTTGGAGATAGCCTGACGTTTCAGGGAACATCGCCTCCATCTTCAGGGTCGAAGAGTAAACCAATCAAAAAAGCAGTGGACGCGAGCTGAATTCTTCGGTCCCTGAAGAGGGAGGCGATATGTTCCTCCGAAATATCGGTATCTGTCTGAACTACATGGTAGTAGACAAAAGAAGATGGTGATCTATGATTATGGTGGTGTCATGGTGAGAGAGATCCGAAATGCATACCAAATTTTAATCGGAAAATAACTGAAGGCATGAGGAAGATCCACGTTTGGGTGGGAGAGAAGTAATACGGCGTGAAGTTTTGAACCGGATTCATCTAACTCACTACGGGGCCCGGGGGCGGGCTGCTGTGTACACACAATAAACCTCCAGGTTCCATGAAAGGCAGAGAATTTATTGAGTAGCTGAGCAACTATTGGCTTCTCAGGAAGCACTCTTCGGTGGAACTGCAGAGCAGTGACGATTGTGGCTGAGGGTGCTGATATCTGCTTACATGGACTTGCTGACTCTCCTGGGGGGGGGGGGGGGGGGTGGGGAGGGGAACGAC